TCTAATATAACAATAGGAAATTTACACGTAGCCATGTATTAATGTACTAGGAAAAAAGATTTAAGTTTTGGGTTAAAGTCCAATCACTAGATCATATAAAAATTAAAGTTTAGGTTTATGAAACTCATCTAAGTCATGATAAGGAATGAGATTTGAATTAATTGTTATAGAATTACAGGACACTACGTTGAATCATAATAGGTTAATAGAACAGCTAAGTCATTTAAGTAAACTTATAGATTATAGTATAGTGTTAAGTTGATAATATTAATCGTTAAAAATATTTGGAGTCAGTGAACTTGGATTAAACCTAGAGTTAACTCAGAAAAGTTTTTTGTATTAATCAGGGTTTAGAACAAAGAGTATAATATGAATGATTTATTGAACACTATGGAAGACATTAGGAACAATTGAAATTGTGCACCTGTGACCTTGATGTAAGTTTTGTGAAGCACATCAGGCATCATGGAGTTCGAATTGTTTGCTTGAAACTTACAAGTCTCTTGATGGTCTTGCGATGCATGGTTTGTAAAGCACGGAACTTGTACGCCCCTAGCAAGTGATTATCACACTGCTGGAGGGTATAGAAAATGGTATATAAGTTGGAAAAGGTTTGAATAAAATCGGCTCCAGTCCTGATCAGACTGTTTCCAGAAGAACTGCCTCCGAGTGGTCTTCTCGCCGTCTCCTGATTCTCCGGTGCGGGTCCTAACCCACCCTTGGTCAGTGCTGGTCACCGACAGGGGTCTTTCCCCCTTTAACCAGTAGAAGCCAAGTTCCCAAACACATTTCATAAACACAGTCATTTGCCACATAAATGACGTTTCCATCAATGATCGAATTCAAATATGATTGTGGTCCTATAAGAATATGGAGTTGAAAAATTCCTATCACCTAGTGATGTGGATGGAGCCTTCCAGTGCATCACCTTTTCTATGTTTAGATACCCAAATACTATTGTGTTATACTATTGCGTCACAGCTGCCTACAATTTCAGTACAGTAACATGCTGTACAGGTTTGTAGCCTAGGAGCTATAGGCTATGCCATCTAGGTTTGTGTAAGTACAATCTATGACCTAGACCAGGGTTTCCAACCCCAGGCTGCAGACCGATACTGGTCGGCGGTCTGTTAGGAACCAGGCCGCAGAGCAGAAGGTGAGCAGCTGGCTCCGTGTCCTGTCACATCCGCAGCGGCATTAAATTCTCATAGGAGCGCGAACCCTATTGTGAACCGTGCACGTGAGGGATTAGGTTGCGCGCTCCTCATGAGAATCTAATGCCTGAGTAACAACCCCGCTCCCAGCTCCGTGGAAAACTTGTCTTCCACAAAACCGGTCCCTGATACCCAAAGGGCTGAGGACCGCTGGTCTAGACGAAGAAACGGCCGGGAGGCGAATTTGCACTGCACACCTGGTAGCTGCCATTGGCAGCCACGTGCTGGGGGCGGGGCTGGACCGCGAAGGCGGTGCCAAGGTTAGGTCCCAGGGTGGGAGGCGTGGCGGGGGCGTGGCGCGCCGCAGGCCCGCGACCCGGAAGTGGGGCTCGCGCTTCCCCGGGGTCCGATCCTCCCCGGGGCTGGCGGGTCCAGCTGGGAGCGGCCAGGGGCGGGGTCGGGCCTTGGCGGGAGATGGCGGCTGCAGCTGTGAGAGGCGCCAAGCGGAGCCTGCGGGCCGAGCTGAAGCAGCGTCTGCGGGCGGTGAGCGCGGAGGAGCGGCTGCGCCAGTCCCGCCTGCTGACCCAGAAGGTGCGAGACCGCTGAGGGTGGCGGAAACCGCTGCGGACCGGCTCGCGGCGTGCCCGGCAGCGCAGGCTTTTGGAGTTCAGCGCCTCCGTGCACGCGCACGTCCCCCTCCGGCGCGCCCGTCCCCCCCTCCGGCGCGCGCACGTAACCCCCACCGGCGCGCGTACGTCCCCCCTCCGGTGGGTGCTTGTTTGCTCGTGGTTGTGGCGGTCCTCTTGGGCACTATGGCGGGGAGGGGGACGATGATGAGAGTCACGGGGCTGATGAGGGAGCGGGCGGCAGTGGTTGACAGGCGACCCTTTGGGAGGGGAGCGTCCGGTGGATGGCACCTGTAGCGCTCGAGAACCCCTCAGTGGGGATAATGGAGGTACTGGGGTGAGAGCAGGTGAGAACAGGAAGTTCTGGGAGAGGACATGGGTGGAACACCTGAGCGTCAAGGTTCCCGCAGTGAGTCCTAAAGGTAGTGAGCCAGTCTTTTTTTTTTTTTTCTTGAGTTGGAGTCTCACTCTGTCACCCAGACTGGAGTGCATGGCCGCTCCCGGCCACCGCAGCCTCGACCTGGTGGGCTCCGGCGATCCAGCTGGAACTACAGGCGCTCGCTACCACAGCCGGCTGATTTTTTTGATTTATTGTAGAGATGAGGTCTCGCCAAGTTGCCCAGGCGGGTCTCGAACCCGCGGGCTCAGGCGATCCACTCACCTCAGCCTCCCAAAGGCGCGGGATTACAGGCTGAGCCACCGAGCCCGGCTGTGAGCCAGTCTTATAGGTAACGAGTAAGAGGCCAATCATCTCAGTAGATGACCAGAGAGAGATGGAAAGGTGCAGTTACCTCCTAAGAGGAAACACCACAAAAGGGAGTGGAGATGCCAAAGAACAAGGCAACGCTGGCTGCCCTTCACTGAGGGCTGGGGCTGTGTGGCAGTAGCTTCAGGGCCTAGCGTTTCCCTGGCAGAGTAGGTGGACTTTAAATGCTTTTTCGCATGAATGAAAGGAATAAGTGATTATCATACACAGGCTTTCCAAGAAGGTAGGAAGCAGCAGAGAGAAATTTGGGGGTTCCCTGTTCGTTGGTCAGAAGACCTTGTTTTTGTTTCTTTCACAGACTGGCTGTGTATTTTCATTTGCAGTCTGTACGTAATGTCAGTTCTCTTACCAATAGGATGGCATTCATATCCTGTCATGAAGGCATGTTCTAAAGATGTTTTGTTGGATATCAGAGGGGGGAAAATCAGTGTTCCACGAATAAGTACCTATCAGTATTTCTAAGTCAAACTAGTGATCTGTCTTCCCCAACATCATGTTTCTGATAAGATACCAGTGGATATTTGGAGGCTTGAGGTCCTTTGGAATTAGATATACTTCAAAACTTTCTTAATTGCTCTTCACTATTATATTATCCATTAATTTCTCAAATTTCTGGGGGTTAAAGTAGTTAAGCAAATGTGCTCACTTCACCCCATCCATTATATGTAGGTGTGCATGATGGTATTGATGCAGATGTTAGGTTTATTCATTCACATTGATTTATTTGAGCTGTTATTATGAGGAAGGCATTGTTGGGTGCTTTAGTAGATGTAGAGAATATAGACTCTTGTCTTTATTGTCTAGTTGTATGAAATTTAGCTAGTTCATCCACGTATATTGAACACCTACTATAGTTCGCACTTGGCTGTGTACTGGGTTGTAGTAATGAAAAAGGTGTGATTAAAGGAATGGAGAGTCTAGAAGAGGAAACAGACACATGATTGGAAATTTGCAGTGCAATGTAACCTGGAGGAAGGGGAATTGGAAAGCTTTCTGTAGGAAAATGACATAAATTTTGTAAAGCGAGATGAATTTTATCAGGTGAAGGGAAAGGTGGGGTGGGGAGATGTGCAGATATGTAGGCAAGAGAGGGCAGAATGCAATTTAACAGGGACTTTGGAATTACACAGATAGGGATTTAATTTGGCTTCATTGTTTTTTAACTGTGGCCTTGGATAAGTCTCCTAATCTCTCTGAATTTATGGTTCCTGATCTGTAAAATGGATAATGTCACCCTTGTAGGCCTGTTGTGAGGGTTAAAGAGTTATATAAAGGGATGTATTCAGTGCTTTACATTTTTTGATGTATATTTTAGGAAGAGTATATTGACAGCATTTGGGTAATGGGTTGGGGAGGGAAGAAAGAAAAAATAGGGGACAACAGTGAGGCACTGTTGTGATAATTCAGGTAAGAGGTGGTCAAGATTCAAACCTGAGCGTGGGAAATGAAGATGGAAAAAAAGGCAAGTGTAGACGGTTCAATGAGAATCAGCACTACTTTTGCAACTGATTGGGTAGACGTTAGAGCAGGGGTCCCCAACCCCCTGGGCCACACACTAGTACCATGTTAGGACCTGTTAGGAACTGGGCCACCCAGCAGGCGGTGAGAGTCACATGTGAGCTAGGGAGGCTCCATCTGTATTTACACCCTTATTCCCCATCGCTTGCATTACTGCCTGAACCTTTCCTCCTGTCAGATCAGCACTGAAAAGCCTGCTTCTGTTTCCATTATCCTATCCTTGTAAAGCAGGGTTTTCTGCAGTGACAGCAACCAAAATGAGATTACAGAGTAGACTGGACATAAGCAGCACACTTTAGGTGTGTCACTGTCTCCATCACCCCCAGATGGGACCATCTAGTTACAGGAAAACAAGCTCAGGGCTCCTACTTATTTGCATCATGATGAATTGTATAACTATTTCATTATATATTACAATATAATAATAGAAATAAGGTGCACAATAAATGTAATATGATTGAATCATCTTGAAACCATCCCTACCCCCGGTCTATGGGAACAATTCTCCCACGAAACTGGTCCCTGATACCAAAAAGGTTGAAGACCGCTGTATTAGAGAATCCTGGAATGGGAGGGGAATCACTTATGATTCTAAAATCTAGAGCTTGGGATAATGGTGTTTAGCATTGTTAGGTATTAGGAATGTAGGAACTGGAACAGATTTGGGAGGATCACGTAAAGATGAATTCAGTTTGGTTTCTTTGTCCATAGACGATTTGAATTCATAAACTTCAGATGGGAATATATATAGAGGCAGAATTGCTGACAATAATGGAATGACAACTGAGAGGTGGCATCAAAGGAGGAGAGAAAAATTGAAAAGCAGACCCATGACTCTCAGTAATAAGTACATTTTACTGTATACAGATAGCCTATACATTATGTTTTTTATAATTTAGAAGTTTTTCAAACAAATAATGTAGGGTAAAAAATTTAAGCTTTATGCCATATCTTGACTCCCTAAATCATTAAGATGAGAAAATTATTGCCCCTTGAATTACTTTGATTTCTACTGTATCTGCCAATTTCTAACACCTATATTATTATGCTTACATTGTCGTTTTATAATATTTGTATTTATTAATTAATTTATGTTGAGTCGGTGTCTTACTCTGTCATCCAGGCTAGAGTATAATAGCATGATCGCAGCTCACTGCAGCCTTGGACCTCCCAGGCTCAGGCAGTCCTTCTACCTCAGCCTCCCAAGTAGCTAGGACTACAGGCATACACCAGGATACCTGGCTAAATTTTTTATTTTTTTGTAGACGCGAGGTCTTGCTATGTTGCCTAGACTGGTCTTGAACTCCTGGGCTCAAGCAATCCTCCTGCCTTGGCCTCCCAAAGTGCTGGGATTACAGGTGTGAGCCACTGTACCTGGTCAAGTTTTATAACATTTAAACTCTTTTCTGTAACTATGAGTCTACTTAGCAGTATTTGTGATTGATTTCTAAGCTTGAAATTCCAGCAAATAGTGTACAGTATTTTTGTGATCTTGATTGTATTCACTGTAGAACCAATCTTGTGACTAATTTTGTATATAATTTTATGTTACTAGATATGTGTGCCTAGGAGGGGAATGTTTCAAGTATCAGTACCAAATATATTTTTTTTCCTACAATTGCTCAAAATTATGCTATATTTTATTTTGTTCCTATTTGGAGCATATTTCTAAATTAGTTCTGTATTTTTTCATAAGCTTTTTGTTGTCTTTGTTTTTCCTTTTTGGCAAGTCAAGAGTATGTCTTTATTTTATCAATAGATTGTTATTTCTTCACCCTGGGCAACCTAGCAAAACCCTGTCTCTACAAAAAAATTAGTTGGGCATGGTGGCGTGCACCTGTAGCCCCAGCGACCCAGGAACCTGAGAGGGAGGATTATTTGAGCCCAGGAATTCAAGGCTGCGGTGAACCATGATTGTAGCACTGCACTCCAGCCTGGGCAACAGAGCGAGACCCCATTTCTAAAAAAAAACTTTTATTTTGTCTGCAAAAATAAATTCATTTTTTTTTTTTTTTTTTAGTTGGGAGTCTCACTGTTGCCCAGTCTGGAGTGCAGTGGCATGAACAGGGCTCACTGCAGCCTCAAAAAACTGGACTGAAGTGATCCTCCTGTCTCACCTTCCTGAATAGCTGGGATTACAGTTATGCCACCCTGCCGGGCTAATTTTTTTTATTTTTATTTTTTGTAGTGATGAGGTCTCGCTATGTTGCCTAGGCTGGCCTCAAACACCTGGGCTCCAGCAGTCCTCCTGCCTCAGCCTCCTAAAGTGCTGGGATTACAGGTGTGAGCCATCATGCCCAACCTCCACTTTCTTTGTGAAAGCACTCCAGCCTTTTCCCTCTCTGGTGTGGTTGCCTTCTGGCCCATTGCACAGCTGTTGCCCTGGGGTTCCTCCTTATTCCACTTCTGAGTTAGGGCTGTGTCTTGGGTCTAGTGTCATCCTTTTTTTTGGATTCTTTTTTCTCTCCTATCTTATTATAGTGTGTCTTCAAATGATTTTTTTTTCTTAGAAAATATCTATGGGTGTGGGTACACTTTTAAACACTATATACATTAGAAAATGTTTTACCTGCTGGACTCGGTGGCTCAGCCTGTAACCCTGTGCCTTTGGAAGCTGAGGTGAGTGGATTGCCTGAGCCCGCGGGTTCGAGACCCGCCTGGGCAGCAAGACCTCATCTCTACAATAAATCAAAAAAAAAATCAGTTGGGCGTGGTAGTGCATGCCTGTAATTCCGGCTACTTGGAAGGCTGAGGCGGAAGGATCGCTGGAGCCCAGGAGGCCGAGGCTGCGGGGGCCGGGAGCGGCCACTGCACTCCAGTCTGGGCGACAGAGTGAGACTCCAACTCAAAAAAAAAAGAAAAAAAAGAAAATGTTTTACCTTGGGTTGGGCATCATGACTCACACTGTAATCCTAGCACTTTGGGAGGCTGAGACAGGAGGATCGCTGGAGCCCAGGAGTTTGAGACCAGCCCTGGCAACATAGCGAGACCCCATCTCTATAGAAAAAAAAAATTGAGGCAATATTTTACCCTCATATTTGATTGGTCATTTGAATTTCATATTATTTTTCCTTGTTCTGCTCAACACCCATGGTCCCCATGACTGGTGTTTTTATTTATCTGCTAGTATATTTTTGATTATTTATTTTTCCTTTGTGCCTTTCTGGAATTCTTGTTAATCAGATAGTAAAAATTCTCAATCTTCTTTTTCTCCTAACATTTTTGTTATTTCTCTTTTTCCCTTACTCCATGTCTTTCTCTTAAACTGTTTTAATTTTGTGAATCACAACTTTAATTTCCCATGATTATTTCTTAATTTATTGATTTATTTCCTTTTATAGCAGTCTGTTATTGGTTTTTTGTTTTGTGTTTTTTTTTTTTGAGTCGGAGTCTCACTTTATTACACAGGTTGGAGTACAGTGGCATGCTCATGGCCACTGCAGCCTTGACCTGGTGGGCTCAGGCAATCCTTCTGCCTCAGGCTTTCAAGTAACTGGAACTATAGGCACGCACCACCATGCCTGGCTAATTTTTAAAAAATTTGTTGTAGAGATGAGGTCTTACCAAGTTGCCCAGGCTGATCTCGAACCCCAGGGCTCAGGTAGTCCTCTCGCCTCCACCTCCCAGAGTGCTGGGATTCCAGGCATGAGCCACCACACCCAGCTTATAGATGAAATATCTTATTCAATTTGTCTGAGAAAACTAATTTGAATTTCAAAAAAATTATGTTTTTAAAAAATTCTTCTGTTTTGTACTTTGGCTTTTCAAAATGTTTGATGGTCCTTTATTGTCTGTACATATTTATGAACAAGGGTGTGATAGCTAATGGGGACTTCTTTTGCCTTTTATAATTGCCTTGGGATTCCAAGGGAGGAAGGGATCCTGCCTGGCCTGCATCCTTGTTCTCTGAGTGTTGTGAGCTGCTGCTATTTTGTGGGTGAATACTGTGCCGTCTGCTCTGTCTTACACAAATTAGTAAGCTTTCTTTTCTCTTGTTCTCAGTGCTATAATGGATTTTCTTTTTTCGGCGTCTTTACTGTCATATACATGAGACGAGGAAGGAAGATAAATGGGATGCACAGTCTTGCACTGCATTTTAACTGATGTTTATTACTACTCATTCATCTCTTGATGTTCTGCTTTGAAGAGAACAAGAGGACACTTAACTTTCTCATATGGCACTTGGATATCAAAAGTCTGAGGCCTTCCCAAGGACTGCACTTAGCATTTTTTTCTTTGCCTGTTTCAGGACTCATAATAGCTCTGCAATTTTTCCCAAAGGAGTTCAAGTCATTCTTAGCACTGGTGTGATGAGCTCTATCTGCTTAATTTATGTTTCCTTTTTTATTAAGAACAACTTGACTTTCTGTACCTGCATCTTTCTGCTAGTCATATTTACAAGTCACTTTTACAGTATTATTTTCTTCTTAGCTTGGAGAACAGGGAAGAACAGAAAAGGAAAGGGAGAAAGGAAGCTAAGGGCTGAGTAAGTTCCTGAGATCTTTAACTTTTCCAGGGTAAGCGAAGCTCAGCCCCCTCCTACCAGATGACCACCAAGATGCCCTCTCCCAACCTTTGTAGATACTGAAAATTAATTTGAACAGGAGAATTTTAGGAAACAGGATGGGGATGGTAGAGCTAAGAGAAAATTATAAGGCATGTCCTCTGCCTCAGGGAGTGTATGAACTAGTCAGGGAAACTACAGTGAGGGCCCATGAAGCAATTAGTGATCACCTCATGACCATGCTAATTGTTAGGTTGTATGTGAACTCTAAATGTAGTAAGGATTCTGCAGAAGCTAGGAAAAGAGAGGACTTGAGTTGGGCTTTAAGAGGGTAGAATTTAGGAAAGAAGACTGACAATCCAAGGAGTGGAAAAGCTTGTGAGATCCAAGGTTCAGAGATAAAATAGAGCACAGACCTTAGGGGAAGCACATGGAATGACTGAGGACTGCTACAATGGGTGTGGGAGGGAAGGGGAAACAGGCCTGGAATTCTGGAGCCAGACAGCTGGTCCCCACAGTGACTTATTAATGAGTTTTCACACCTATCAGTGAGCACACCAGAAAGGGGTGAAGGGATCAGAGAAGTAAGTGTTGGGTGACAACTAAAAGTCAGGCTTCAGGATGCAGCACTGTCTGAGCCTCTGTATGCATATACATATTTTCTTTTGATAGTGGAAGTTGGAGAAGACTGCGAGAGAAGGGAGGAGCTGTTAAGGGAAGTTGCTAGTTTTTAAAAGTGTAATCTAGGGACTGGGCATGGTGGCTAACACCTGTAATCCCAGCACTTTAGGATGCTGAGGTGGGGGAGGATCGCTTGAGCCCAGGAGTTTGAGACCAGCCTGGGTAACATAGTGAGACTTTGTCTCTAAAAAAAATTTTTTTTTAAAGTGTAATCTTGGAAAATATAATCGCCATAATTTCCCATTTAGGTGATTGCCCACAGTCAGTATCAAAAGTCCCAAAGAATTTCCATCTTCCTGAGCATGCAAGATGAGATAGAGACAGAAGAGATCATCAAAGACATTTTCCAACGAGGCAAAACCTGTTTTATCCCTCGGTACCAGTTCCAAAGCAATCACATGGATATGGTGAAATTAGCATCACCTGAGGAAATTTCTTTACTTCCCAAAACATCCTGGAATATTCATCAGCCTGGTGAGGGTGATGTTCGGGAGGAGGCGTTGTCCACAGGTGAGTGTCACAGTGTTAGAGTTGACATTTTAGGATGTCGTCATACTGTTTGGTTTTATTTTTTGAAAGCAGGATTTTTTGAGAGGATAGAAAGGTTCCCACCCACAGTGGAAGAGGACCTGAAGGGCTTGCCCTGACCAGTTGTTAAATCTCAGGTTCACCTGTTATGTTTGTGTCAGTGGGAATTGCTTTTCCTAGAGGGAAGAATTTGTATTTCACTTATATTCCAAGACACCCACATTACCTGACTGAGGATGTGATACCTCTGTACACTGTAAGTCTAAACTATAATAGTAAGGTATCATAGTATTGTTGACTTCTCATAGACTCTTGCCCTGACCTTGTGGGTTGAATTATGAATTTTTCCTGAATTCTTTCCTCTGGTTTTAATTATGGTCTGTATGCCAATGAGCACATTATTATTAATGATAATGAGCATTTACGTCAGACCTGACACCTACCTTCTGGACATCTCTGTTTGGATGTCATGTGCATATCACAAATGTAACATGTTCCAAGCTGAATCATATTTCCCTCAGTGCACGGAACGACCAGCCACCCAGCTGACCATACCAGAAATCTCTAGGCCATCCTTGATGCCTCTCTTTCGCTCATGTTCCACATGTGGTTTATTGCCATGTCCTGATGATTTTACCTACTGAATATTTGTTGAGTCTGTCCACTTCTCTCCTACCCACTGCTACTACTAGTCTAAGCTGCCATCTTGTCTTGTCTGGATACCCATAATGGCCTCCTAACAGTTCTTTCTGTCGATGTCTGACATCCTTTCCTCCCTCTCAGTCCATTATCTAGTAGCAGTTGAAACGAGATCTCTAAAACACAAACCTGTCACTTCTCTTCCCCAATTAAGGTCTATCAGTGACTTTCTGTTGGCCTTAGATTGAAGCAAACACTCCTTAAAAAAGCTCTTCCTGATCTTGGTTCTGCTTGTCTTTCCATTTTCACATGTCTTCCCCCCACTTCATAGTCTAAGTTCCAGCCATTCTGTATATCTCTGTTTCCCAACTTAACTTTACTTTCTTTCCTGCTGGATCTTTTTGCATGCTGTTCTCTAGCCAGCAGCTGTTTGGGGGATTTTATCATTATCAAGGAGTCAAAGAGCTGAAAGCAAAACAAGCTAAGGGTACCATTTTTAAATAAAGCCTCAAAGTTGTCTTAGAGGTGTATATTTTTGAGTAAGATTTAAATGGTTGCAAAGAAGTCCTGGCACAACTTCCTGCAGCCTTCTCTTAATTTCTGTCCCTTCCAACATAACACCACAACCTATAAAATTGACATGATGGTGTGGGAAGGGATGAGTAGGGGAATTATCTACTTTGCTCCTTTATCTTCCCTTATATTATCCAATCCTAGGCTTTCTAGATGTTTGGGCACCAAAAGTACATTTAGATCTCACTCTTGTCCTGTATCGGCAGACCACATGAATGTCAGCATTGCAAAACTCTTTTATATCTTCAGGGAGAGAGATTGCAGCTTGTTAAGACAGACAATCAGGGAGTGCAGACTGTCTTGGGGAGTAGTCTAGGCTCATAGATAAGGAAATACAAGAAATTGTAGCTTCTGATTTTAGCTCCCCACTCAATGCAATTGCTTCTCCAGACTTGCAGGCTGAAGGGTGGAGCCCAGGACCTTTCCCAGTTCTGGTTGACTCTCTGGGAACAGCTCCACTGTCTCTGTAATGTGCTTGCCAATTGAAATCCCTCTTGGCCTTCTCCAGTAACCAGTTCCTCTAGAGGCAGCCAGTTCCTTTAGAACAGCTCTGCCCCTTGTAAAATGTCTTCCTTGGGTTGAGCTAAAATGTATCGCTTTGAATCAGCATGCATTTGTTTAGTTGGATTCAATATACCAGTGAAATGATTAAGGAAGAAGCATGTTCTTTCCTCTTAACTTAGTTGTATTTCCTGGTTAGGATAAACGCAGTCCAAATAAATGAGCTCAATCATTTATGTATGGTTTTTAGCGCATCATTTGGCACATAAGAGCTGCTTGGAAAATGATAACTTATACATTTTAAGCATGAAAGGCAGAGTTATTCATTATATTAATATGATAAATTCACGGCTAGCCAAGTATTTAACTTTTTGACAATTTTTAGCCATTTTCACACATTTTTGTGTCAGATCCTATTTGAGGCCTGGAATAAGGTCCTGACTTCGGAGGACTCACATTCTAGTTGGGGAGATAGAAAATGCATGTAAAAAGAATATTCTCACCTAGCAATTTTTTCTGCTGGGACTGCTAGCAGTAAGGATGCTGTGGAACTCAGAGCTGCAACAGGCCACCGTTTGGCACCAGAAAATGAAACCAACATAGCTGGAAGCAGAGTCAAAAGGCAAAGATAGACTGGCTACTGATAACACTGATGCTGTTCTAGCTGTATCTACAACCAGCCCTCTGTAAGCTTTTCAGTCTCTAGGCCAGTAAAATCCCATTTTTGCTTAAGCCAGGTTGAATCAGATTATATACTTGCAACAAAAAAATTCCTGCCTAATCTAATTGCCCAAGCAGCCTTCACTGTGTGGACAAATTCATTTACCCATCTGTTTATTTTGTTGTTTCATTTACCAATCTGTTTATTTTGATGTATACATAATATAAGAATAGCCCATGTGAAATTTGTGCTCAGGAACTTGTTGCAGCTGAGGACACCAAAGCTCACTCTTTTCTAAGCTATGATAACATGAGCAAACCAGAAAGATAAACAGACTACAAAGGCTACCCCAAGGACAATCTGAGTTCTGATCAGCTTGTGCCAAACACTGCAAAGCTAGATTTATGCTTTAGCACTGAAGTTGCCACATTCTAAGCTGCTGATGCAAGTAGAAAGTCATGGTGCAGAGTGTGATGCTAGGAGATAACAAACAACAGAGACTGCCTACTCAAACAGTTCTATAAACAACAGCAGAGAGCTTCGGCCCCTAGATTGCAGTTTTGAGAAATTACGGGTATAATCCCCTAACCCTTTGTAATCCAGATTGCAAGTATCTTCAGAGAAAAACACATGGAGGAAAAAGCCACGGTTGCCACAAATACAGTGTGAACAAATACTAAGGAGGAGAAGAAAATAAACAGCCAGCTTTCTTGGTGACCTTTTTTCTATTCAAGACTATTTCCTGAACTTCTATTTTTTATTATTCAGTATCTTTTCATTTGACACTTACATAGTTGTTATCTCTCCCTTGTACTGTCCTATTTAGTTTTTTGTTGAACTTTTAGCTTTTTTGTTAAACGCTTAGATGTTCACTATCCCTTGATCTCAGCATGTCTAAATTCATTCTTATCATTATGTTTTTTATGTTTCTGCCGGTAGCCACTTTGTGGATGTGCAGTTATCCTTGCCTCTCTTCCACCATCCAGTTGTGAAATGTTACCATGTTTTTCTTTGTAATGTTTTTTATCACTTGTCTTTCTCTAATTCTAGTTTTGGGGCAGTCCTTTGTCTATAATTTTGATTCTTCATTTCTCTTCCATTGCAATAAACTGCAAATTGGTTTCCTGGCTATCTTAATTTTTCTAAAATACCTATTTGTGCAGATCATGTACCCTGTACAAGCCTTTCCCTGTACATTGGATAGATCTGTATACCTGAGCAGACAATGGTTTCTGCTGGCTAATTGTGGCCAGAAGAAGGGACATTAGATAAAATCCAAACCTTCAGGCCGCTATCTGGACCTTACTTGTCTTTCTGCCTTTGACACCTGCACTTCCGTGGTACAGTTCCTCATTCAGCCACAGCGGTCTGCTGGAAGACAGTATTTCAAGCAATTTTAAATAGAGACTTGGGAATCAAATCAAGCTCAATTTAAATTCTAGTTTTCTTCCTTTCTAACTGTGTGACTTTGGGAAGTCTTTGAGTTTCAGTCTTCCCACCTATAAGGGGTTCTTATAAAAGTTGCCTCACAATTCTGTTATGGAGCTTAAATCAGATAATGTCTGAAAAGTGTTTGGCATGATAAGTGCTCGGTAACAGTGCTCTTGCTGCTGCTGTTGGTTTTGCTGCTGCTAAGTTGTCAGGCATAGCATAATGCTATGTGCATTACTGTGAAAGTGACTTTGTGTATACAGTTTTCCAGACTAGAACGTGCTGTGTGTTTCTCCAAGGCACTATTTTCTAGTCTAGTGCTTAAGATTACTGGCTTTGGCGTCAGACTGATCTAGCCTTTGCCACTGGACAAAATGACTTAATATCTCAAAGTCCAGATTTCTTCATCTGAAAATTGACAATAATTACGGTACTGACTCACTGTATTATTAGAGGATAAAGGAAGGATGTATGTAAAGTGCCTAGCACAGCTTGTCATATAGTCTGGGGTCAATAATTGGCAGTTATTATGAACAATTATCAATAGCAGTTACCTTCCCCAAACCTTCCCTGGCTGCCCCCAAGACACTGGTCCCTTTCTTCTCTAGTTCTTATATACCTGGCACTTAACATATATTCCCATGTTTTATTAATTCTTTTTGGGAGTAGATTCCTTTTCTTTGCTGATAGACTTAGACTCTTTAGGAGCAGAGACCATCTTCAAACTCATTTCTGTTCCTGGTACCTGGTATCACGTGGTTTACGTCATAGGCTTTCAGTAAGTTTCTTGGGCCAGGCATAGTGGCTCATGCCTGTAATCCCAGCACTTTGGGAGCTGAAGTGGAAGAATTGCTTGAGGCCAGGAGTTCAAGCCTAGCCTGGGCAACATAGTGGGATCTTATCTCCACAAATAAATAAGCAAATGAATAAATTTTTTTAAAAAAAGTTTCTTGAGGTGAAGCCAACATCTTTAATAAATTCAGAGAATGCTTATATAAATGAATAGATGGTGGACACTTTATAACCATGAAAGAAAACCTGGATTTTAAAAATTATAAGCATGTGTTCAGGGACACTTTAAAAAGTATATCAGAATTAGTTGTTTTATAAGATGCTGTGACATTTTTATTTGATATTTGTGAGTAAAGGGTTAACATCAATCCTGGGCGGAGCTGAG